TACGTAGTAGTCGCAAACAGATTAAATATATAACCTGGACATCGTAAGTATATACAATTTTATGGAGCTTTGGTACACGTCTGCACTGTTTTATTGCGCGCTCCGCTCGGGGTTACAATATTAAAATATAAAATATTGTTATAGAGTAAAAATATTGTAGTTACCACTCACATATTATAGAGTTTGTTAGCTGTGGAAGTTTATTATTGAAACAGATAAATGTAAGAGATATTACGGTACGGTTCATGCCAAAATTAAATAAATATTACCTGTGTTCTAATTGGGTGGCTAAAATATCTACTGATTGTTTTTTTTAAATGAGATTGACATTAAAATTGTTTTTTGGCGTGCTCTATTTAGTACTACATAGTATATTATATACCTATTAGTTTATATTATGTGTAACATCGTTTGTATGTTACATGTTACAATCGCAAGTTTTAACTAACTTTCAAGGCCTGAGAACTAGAATGTGCAAACAGGTGCTACACTCGATACCGGCTCTTTTGTTTCCATAATTCTAAATAATATTTATATGAAGTGCGCTTGCGCAGCGCAGAGGCAAGAATCACTTTAGACTTTATGTGAATGAATATATTCATGCTACAGCGGCATTTGTCTTGAGTACTATATATTACATTTCATTTTATGTTGAAAATGAATTTGTGCTTTGTAAATTCTATTCAATATTCTGTGCTTTTGTTTCCTATATCAATAAAAACAAAATACTTTGCATATGATAATATGTCTTTGTATAAACAAAATGGATTTATTGATTGAATTATCTACGCGTTATTTAAAAAAATAAAAATATAATGACGTCATCATATAAGATACGTCTTAATTAAAATATTTGAGAAAAAAAAATGTTTAAACAATAGATACTTAGTATGTCACTGAACTTAAATCATGTTAAAAATAGAATGGGCATAGTTGTGACTATTTTGTTTTTATGTGCATAACTTTTTTAAAACCGTCTTCTTTCAACTCTTTCAAAAGCTGTATTTCTCAATTTTATCTTGCATTACATAAGATGCTTTTACATTGAACTTTTCAATATCACGCTATCTTAATAAATAAAAACGTATTACACATTTTAATTCACCTTTCCATTTTCTACATAAAATAATACGTTTTTAACTTGAAAAGTGTACAGATGCATATCACAACTTGAACAATAAAAGTTTATCTCAAAGCGATCTACAGAAAAAAAATTACTTTGTGAGCAAAAATATACCGCTTAAGCTACTGAACGTGAGTTCATTACTGTACTTGTCGTGCATTTAAGTTTATTATGAACTATATTTGTGAAAATAATGACATATATTACTTGTCTATAAATTTTAACAACTGTAACAATGGAATTTCATCTTCAATGCAATAAGTCTATTTGTAGTTTACGCGAGTAGCACTCATTTCAATGAAACACTTTTAACGGTATAAAACACGAAATATATGAGGTATAATATTTTAATAACGACCCGACCTTTCGGATACTTTGTAGCAGCTATGGTCACAGAAGAATGATAGGAAAATCAATAAAAACGAATATGTTTAGCGTTTTCAACCGATAAATGCATTTATTTAAATTTTAAATGATTATAATTACATTTAAATCCGTCTCAATTTTGTGTCAAATCTGTTTTAATTTTGAAAAAACCATCAACATCACGGGTAAGAACTGAACTCACGAACACAGAGTTCTTTACCTCTCTACCCCTAAATCCCTATTACACTGAAAAAAAATTCAGGTCAATACCTACCTAAAGTTGTCTATAGTTTACGCGAGTAGTACACATTTAAGTAAAACACTTAAACGGTTTAAAACGCGATATCGCGTCGGACTGAAGTTAAAAATCATTTTCAAATTAGTTTAACTAACGCGTGTTAAACCGTTAAAGTGTTTTATTTAAATACCTAAAGTTATAAAAAATCATAACCAGTCTCGTCGAAACACAGTCATCGCTTATAATTGTTATTATGAGTAAATTGCGTTCTTTAATCTTAATTGAAAGTGCATAAACTATGAGAGCCATTGTTGTTTAAACAAATATTAGGCAATATAATTGTCCAAGTGTTTCCCGAGATAAATTGACAAAGTCCACGCAATTCGTGTCAAGTGCGGACTGTAAGTAATTAGAGCATTTTAGCATTAGAGGTAACTCCGTAATTCATTGTTGTAGTTTTTTAATTCGCCGTCCAATTATTCAGTTTACGTCTGTCTCAATTTCATAATGGATTACTTAAATTACTGCGCTCCACTTTTGCTTTTTATGTTGCTTAATTTTTTATTAACGCGTCTTAATTTATTAGAAATATTTAATTAAATACCGCCGGTGACGTTATCGCTAACAAAACATTTAATATAAATCAATGTTGAGCTTGTAAAGTTTGAGAATAAAGAAAAATGATAGAGTAGGATTAGAAGGACGGGGATGGAGTTGAATTGGTAGGAGATGAAATAACCCAGCAATATACATGTACGCAATGTGAGTTGTCGACCTATTTCGGCATTGAATATTCGGGCATATACATATACTTAATCGCAACTTATAAAAAGTTAATTAAAACATAGATTAAAAATAAATTGAAAACAATTTCGACACGGGTAAAACTCGAACCGGCATCGTCAGCGTTCCGTGCTGTTGCTCTAACCAATTTATCTACCGAGTCGAGTTCTTTTAATTTATTTTCGATTTTCTATGTATGCTATCTATTGCCATCATGTGCACTGCACAAACTTGTATAAAATATTAAAATTTTGAAACGGTATTTAATACATTTTTAACGGTTTAACAGAAGTAATAATTCAAAAATCAATTCCGCATTGAAGCCTTGAAGAGTAATAAGAGTCATTCTATTATTCTCTCTTATGATTCATCAGTAAAAAATGAACTAAAAGTGAGTTTGTAGCCATTACTAGCGAGCGATCCTAAATGTGTTGGCCAAAGGACTGGATCTGTATAATTATCAAAATTGCTTCCCTGTGGAATATTACAAGTATCAACACTATGCACAAACGAGTGCATTGTTTAATATTTCCCACAGCGAAAATAAAAGTGAGTATTCAATCTCCTGGGCGCATTAACGGTACCGCGATACAGTACAGTGACTCTTATAACCCACATCCGGGTATAAAAAATAATAAAACCTTTTTAATTTCCATAGTCAAGAGGAAAACATTAAACCTTTTTACTCTTACTACTAACTGAACTAAGACATTTCAATTACGTGAAAAACAATCTAGGCAGATAAATAACAGTGGTAGTAGTAATTCGTGGACGGAATTTCGATATTATCCTACCACCAATTTAATATTTAGATTTACACACATATCTTAATATGATTCTGAAAGAACCGTGGTCGTGGGGAACCAACCCACGACCCGCTGATTATCAGCCATTCATTGCTATCATTATAATTTTTGACCACTTATTTGACACAAAAACGTAAGTAGTAAGAAAAAGGGGTTTTTTTTATTACTATATATTGAACCTAGAACCTCAAACAAAGCAACAATCACAACTAGAAAACCGAGTTTATGTCCGCATAGACCTAATATTATGGTAAATTGTACAATTGGTGGCACGGGCCACTCGTTAGCTATTGCACGTGACATCCAGACGTCGCTTTGTTTCAGTTTTATGCGTACCCGAGCTTAGATTAAACTTTAGGCTGCAGTCTCATAGTAACGGCATTAAAAGATTTATAAGAACACTTTTAAAACACCAAAAAGGTATTAGTTACCTGGAAGATTGTGCTAGTGCCATTGTAGCTACAGCAGCCTTACATTAGCACATGTTTAATATTAAAATCGTTTACATCACAAGTCGGTAAACAACTTGACAATTACGATGCAAAAATTCGGCATAAACAAGACGACGAGTGAAAGAGACAACAACAGTGCCCTTCTTAAAATTCCTTTTTCCGAATATTCAAAGCTAAAATAGGCTCAGGCGTTGTGAATATGCTATAAGGCTGGGGTATTTCAGCATCAAGCGAACCTCATGCTCGTCTGTCATCCTCTAACATTAAAAAAGCGATGCGCTTATAGCTGACCGCAGCCTTACACGGAGATTTATGGCGGTCATATAGAAGCTAGTTTTGGGACGCTTTCGTCGAAACGCTCAGGTTTCTTTAGGGGCCAATTTGTGGTCCCCGCTTAACGTCGTGTCGTGCATGCATGCCACGCCTTTTTATTGCTGCCCCTTAACTGTAAACAACACCCATTCTGGCCGTCTTGGATATTAAACTTATATACTCTTTTGTCTAATAAAGTACGCGCTTTATGGACTGTTTAAAGGGTGCCCGAAACGTTGAGATTTTTGAGGACGAGATAACATCTCCGGGCCGAGTTCTCACGAAGGAAATAGAGCGAAATAAAACGTAATCGTCGCTGCTTGATTTTAGGTGTTTCGCTGTTGACAATTTATTTTTAATTTAATCTGTTAAAGATAAATGCTTGATTGCGTAAATAAGGTAGAATAAATTAAAAGTAATTAATGTATGAAAATAAGTTTAAAAAGCCGCTTTTAGAAAAACTATGTAACACATTACAATTGCAAATATCTGCTTTATAGAAAATCGTTGTGCAATTAGAGTGTATGATTTTTTTTTTTGTTTTATTGTATATTTACTGATTTGATTTGATTTAAAATAAGATCTCAAGAGATTGAATTAAACTCGAGAAAGATACTCCCACAATTATTATAGTAATAGAATCTTATTAATTTAATTATTCTACTTATCATCGATATAAGTACAGACGTATTATTAGCACACATTTAAACACTTAACGGATTAAAACGCGAATCACCTAAACTTATTTCAATGCATTAGATGAGAAACGTCGGAGCGTAGTTAATATAATTTTCTAAACGAACATATTTCACGTTTTAAACCGTTAAAGTATTTTATAATTCATAATCATTATTCTAAAGGTTACTCGAAGCGTAAAAGCAAATCCAACAAGCGTAAGACAAAATTGGTCGGATTCTTACACTCACCAATCTTCGCTTGGGCTTGATGAGAGGTCGATTCTGTCCGTTCATCTTGTAGTATAGGCCGCACGCGTTGCAGAGGTAGTGCCCGGTGCCATCCCGTCTCCAGAGAGGAGTACTCGTCGCTCCACAGTTCACGCACTCTCGCCCCTCTGTTGTGGACGAAAAAGTATTAAACGATGTACCACAGTACTACAACCACTACAAGACTAATATCTTTAAGTACGTAAAGTATAAATTAATTGAGTATTTTAGAAGAACATCAAATTGGCTTTGGATGATTCCATTGGTAGATAGTGAGTTCAAATCACGCCTTTGTCATTAATTTTTTCAATCTTTCTAAAATACTTTTTCAATTTACATGAAAAGTTATTTCGCATTTATTCGGAGATGTAATATCAAAGTTAGTTAGCTATGTTTGAAACAGGGTTAGAAGCAAAAATAAGACGGTTACCTGTTTCCTGGCAGGCTGAGGAAGACCAGAGAAATATCACATTCAGAAACGATTACCAGTCTTTCACTATATAAGCATGCAACACAAAACACATTAGCGCAAACATCACGTCTCCCAGCTACCATAATATCAAAAATTAATTAACAAGAGAAACCCTCGGCTTTCTCTCGGATCAAGATTTTTTTAACACGCAAGGAAAATTATTATTATTCGCAGTCATGCAAACTTAGTGGGTTTTCTTTAAAATACTAACAAACTACTGATTAAATACTGTCTATAGTTTACACGAGTAGTACACATTTAAATAAACCACTTTAACGGTTTAAAACGCGATATATTAGTTAAACTTATTTGAAAATGATTATGTCTCCCCGTGACCACGGCTGCTGCAAAGCATCCGAAATGTCGGGCCGAAGTTAAAAATCATTTTCAATAAGTTTAACTAATATATCGCGTTTTAAACCGTTAAAGTGTTTTATTTAAAAACTACTTATTTATAATTGCTCAATGTTTAATTATCTGTACAATTATTTGTACAGAGTAAAATGTGTTGCAAAAAAAAACTATGAGCAATAAAGTTAATCAGAGCATGACAAGTTAAAATTACTATACACATGCTAATTGTATTATAATCGTATTAAAACAATTTCTACGGAACGCTACTTGAATACAGATGCCAGTGAATACAACGTACATTTGATTAATTACGAAATACAACATAGGCCAGGACTCAAACCTAAACTATGCAAACATCGAGCTCTACGTCAAACAGAAGGAAGTACGTAATTTTTAAGTATGAACGCCTGTGTAGCTATATATTTAAACCTTTCTAGCTTTGCGTTAAGCGCGAAAGGTCCTGAGTTCGTATCCCGGGGAAACATTAAAATGTTCAGAGAACGGAAGTCTAAGTCGGAAGAAACGGACACCAAATAGTGTTCGCCCCATAATCCAATGAAGGCAACGGGATTTATATTTTATACTGTATGTTTCTTATTAATATAGTGATTTTTTAATCTTAGTAAACATTTAATACCTACTCATGAGATAGTGGCAGAGGCAGTGTAACCTTGTGTTCCAGGTTCGAATTCTGTCTCTATTTCAGTCAAACTCAGATATATATATATAAAATATTCATTATCTATAAAATTATTCATTAATCCAATATTATCAATTCTCGAAATTTCAAAGTTCGAGTCCCGGCCGATACAATCCTTCTCAAGCGATGCACTACTAAATGATAAATATTCATATCTTTAAGTCTGGAAGCGACTCGTAAAGCATGCGAACAAGAAAATGCTAAATCCTCAAGATGAGTAGACCTCTGGGAGAATACGTTTTTTCAATTAAGGATCCGTATTATAATTACAACCGCGATTAGGGTTCCGTGAGGAACGTAAAGCAAACTTTAAAAACACGACAGTCCGTCTGGGTACAGACTGGTAATTAAGAACTGTGTTAGTTACGCAGTTAAATGAAAAGATATCTGTAGTCATAACAAAAAATACCTTTATAAAACTCGTTTGACGGTTTTAAACGTGAAATGTATTGGATGCTTCGCAGCATAGTTGTTTTAAACCGTTCTATTTACTATCTGCGCAAACCACAGAGAATACTTCAAAATAACCCACTAAAACAAATGTGATAATTGTCGTTTTACAGGTAAGAATAGAAGAGAATAGAAATGCATTTATTCAGAAACCACATTTACAGTTAAAACTTATTGTAACGAACAATAATTATCAAGTAAATACAAATGTAATTTATATTTGAATTAAATACGCCAATTGCCTCAGAAAAGGAAGCCACACAGCTACGTTGGGACTGATGTCCCAATACCACGGATCCCTACGGAACCGAACGTGCGTTAGTGCGGCTCGAGCTTTGTCGGTTTTTATTTCGATTGCGCTGAGTAATTACTCGCTACTAAAGTTGTTAGGGATGCATACGGGTTGCCGCCCCCAATCTCTCCAAACTCGATTAAAATATCGATGATTTACCGAGGTCGAATCGAAAATCTAATCTCGTTACACTTCGCATCCTCCCGAACGTTCCCACATATACCCCAATCAATTTTCTCTCGACGATATTGATACTAGATGCGCACGCGGTTGCACCCGGAGTAGGTGCTTCGTTTAAAGGTGAGATTATTGTCAGTTAATAAAAAAATTGTTTCCATAACTCAATGGTTGATTGCGTAGAATTGCAGCAGCCGTGGTCACGGAGGACTGATGTAAATAAGTTAACTAAAATGTCTCACGTTTTAAACCGTTAAATTTGTACTTTGCACGATTCGTGTGACCGTTTCTGTAGTTAAATGATAAAACGTGCCTACATCGCGTTAAGTGTAAGCTTGGGTTCGAATCCCAGGAAATTTATGAAAAATTCGATTCGGCAAGTCAGTGAGGACACTCAAATATAATCGGCCCATACCATAAAGAAGGAACCTGGATTTAATTTGTTATATGAATTTACTTTTTAATAATAAAACTAATCTATATTTTTCGCCAGAGACTAAAATCAAACGAGCTGTCCTGTCGTAAGAGAGACAAATACACAAATTCGGAAGTACGGTAAGTGTTTTTTTAAAATTCAATGTTAATTAGCCCCATATATTATCATGTATTACATTTTATTATGGTGCATTTAATTTACGCTTACTGAATTGCATTAAGCAAATATACGTTTTTGCCACCACATGCCTTCATTCACTTTATTGCCCCACAGATTATATCTATACATCGCATCTGATTATCCAGATATCGCGTTGAATAAATAATGGCGTAGAAGGTGAAAGTGATGTCTCATAGAAAAAAGCCGATAACACATTGCCGCAGGCACTTGGCCGATACATCTTTTTTGTAGATCACAACCGGCAATTAAATCCGGTCCCAACTTATTGCGTACCACTCACTCTTTGGGGCTAACCCTTTTATTTTTTAATCCGATAAAACCTGTAATTTGATCCTTGGTTTCCAATAAATAAATATCGATGGATATTATTAGGGAAAAAATAACAGGATATTACGGAGAACTTATGCTGTGTCCCTATTTGTAACATCTCCATCGTACGTGAAAGCCGCCGGCAAGTACAAGATTTACAGCCGATTATATCAAATTACACATATTGATATAAATATTAATTACATAGACACATAGAAATAGACTTACTTAATAACAGGCAACCAAAATAGGTACCTATGTAAAAAGTTAAAGTATCGGTTTTACCATACAATTAACAATCATTCTAGTATGTAAAGAAAAATAGGAGGAAAATTTTTATGTTACGAATAAACTAAAATGATCATCGTTGTTTGTATATTAGGTGTCATAATTGTCTGTTCCTTATGTGACATTTGGATGAATACATATTTATGGATCGATTGTATGTGCAGGCTTAATTTAAAGACGAGTTTTTAATTTGATACCAAGACCGCGCTAAAAGCAATGGTGGTCAAAGTCAATAAGTGACACCAATTAATTGTTAAATAGAATAAAACCGTATGACGCTGCTAGAGGCAGAGTAGCCAAATAACAAAAAACACGATTTCCAATAGGGATGAAAATAAAAATGCGCTATTATTATATTAACTTAGGCGAAAATGACGTTGAATAATGTTGACCAGTTTCGGTCACTGTCCTCTTGTAGATTCATATTTTTAGAAAAGGAAAATATAAATAACGTTTGAAAACTTTAATATTTTTCACATGTTATTAGACATAATGGCACTATATAATATAAAAATCGAATACAAATTGAAATAAATCGACGATGAGGTGTAGGTAGGACTTGTTAGATCAATCGGTTATAGAAACAGCACGAAAAGCTGACGATGCCGGTTTAATTCCTGTCCGAGTCGTACATATTTTCTATGTTTAAAATTGTAGTTAGGCTACTCTGCCTCTAGCGGCGTAATATTATGACTTAGTTTCCTCCAGTTCCCAGTACTAGCATACCGACCGCACGTCAATAATCGAGAGATCTAAGCACGTGACCCCGACGCGAAATAAAGATATATTTTAGTGCATAACGGGGCTGTCCGACGAGAGATAAACCGATCCAGCAAGTGGGTAGGTACTGAGCGAAAAATTCCAGCGTTCGTTCGAAATTAGAATGCGGCTCGCTCTTTATTGCCCGGAGTGACGTCTCTCGTGACGCTGGTGGTACGTGACCGCGATAAAAGATTTTCATCTGCCATATTTACGTGGCGGAGTGGGCGGCCTTTGTGCTTCGAGAGCCCTCTAGAAGTTTTCACACGCCCCTCGTGCGTGGGGAAAATGCGCGGGACACTCGAGTGAAATCGACAAACTCGCATTTTTTATGATGAAGGAGCGTAGGGTCACTTGATGGTGAAATAAGCCACATAACATCTAAACAACAGCTATCAACATTTTGGCTTTGGGTATTCGGAAATCCACAGACTGAAATCAAAACGCAATTACACTTGACGGATTTTTAACAAAAAGGTCTGATTACAAGAACCTTTAATCTGTGGACGTTAGCTCGTGAAATGGCGGGAATGTCCAGATTTTCAGACGAAGTCCAACATTTTGGAAAAATTATAAATTAATAAACATGTTAGACGCAATGGGGATAAAACTCGACCCGTTGATTATTATTAGCTTTACATTGCTACCATTACACCAATGAGTTACGAAAAACTACAAAATTGATACACAGACTCATATATACTGTCTATA